TACACCCCACACCCTAACCCAGATATACCCTGCTGATTCTATTGATTGATAAGCTGATCTGATATCAAAACCCCTAAACAATGTAAGTCACTACTTGATTTTTGCATGCTTTGTTCTCGGCCTATAAAACCTGAGCTTGTATTCATTGGCAGAGCAGAGGCCGTCAGTGAAGCTTTCCTAGTAAGTAAACTCATGTCTTTATCTGCTGGACCTCCAAGCATGTTCTTGAACATCACACGCAGGCCTCCCCAGATTTGGGGGCCCCCAAAATATGCCTTTCTTCATTTGATTTATTTTATTTTTTTTAGGTTATTTTCATAGGGTGCATTAAGCTTGCCAGAGAGAGAGAGAGAGACAGTAAGAGGGAAAGTGAAAAATCAACCCCTAGAGGGATGGCCATACCACAGTCCCTTCTCCTTCATTCTTCTGGGATTTGGGGCACTCACATCTTGACCCAAGAAATGCAAATGACCCCTAGTAGAATCAACCCAAGATGATCTTCTCCAAAGCACATCATAGCCAGGTTGGTCAAATCCACAAAGACAAAATACTAAAATCGGCAAGAGAGCTACGTCAGGTTACTTACAGAGAGTATCTCATCAGGCTAACGTCAGACCTCTCATTAGAAACAAAGCGAGCAAGGAAAGAACGGGAAAATATAGTCAAAGTGTTAAGTGCAAAACAATTTCAACCAAGAATACTATACCCAGCAAGATTTCTACCCATCTGAAATTTAATCTTGCTGGGTATAGTACTCTTGGTCGACTACAGTTCAAGTCCCAGACCTGGTAACTTGAATCTCATGCTGGGTGTGTGTGCATGCATGCCCAAAATTAAAAGAGGAGAATGGAGGAAAAGGGATTGTGGCATGGCCATATCCCCGGGGGCAGGCGTGGGGGTGATTTCTTATTTTCTGTCTCTTTGACAAGCTCATGCACCCTATAGCAAAAATCTATTTAAAAAATTGAAAATTTTAAGCTTAAAAGGTTTTCTTAAGAAAAAATTGACATTGTACATTAACTCATTTTTTCCTTTATTTATCTTTTCAACATTGTCTTTTCCAGCAGTATGGGCATCATCTTCTTTACTCCTAAGAATGAATGTCCAACACAATATTAGGCCTTCCAGAACATGTTCAAAGTAGGTCTTAAGGAAATGATTCCGAACTAGAAGTGTTTTCAAAACTGAAAAATCTAAACTAACATATTAAGTTTTCATCTTAGTAAGTTAGTATGCTTTTTAACTTAATAAACTCAAATAGCCTTTTTACTATCAATTATGAGTCGTATTGACTCTGAATTAAGGTATATTATGAAAAATAACACTTATTATAAGCTCATTCAGGTTTCAACTTTCTCCATTTCTTTGCTTCTTCCTTCGTGTTTTTTGTTTTTGTTTTTTTTTAATTTCTTTTTTATTTTAAACTTGACATAGGGCATGTGCACTCATTAGAGAGAGAGAAAGAGAGAGAGAGAGAGAGAGAGAGAGAGAAAAGAAAGTTAGAAAGTACCCCTCAGAGGGGATGGTCACACCGAGTCTCTTCTCCTCCTTTCTCCTCCATTCTCCTCTCTGGAGTTTGAGCATACATACATATATGCTCAGCATGTTTTCCAAGCCACTTCTGAACTGCAGAGTTGGGTGTACAGGATCCAGCTGCCTTCACCATCACCACCGCTGTCCCCCCTCAGGGTAACCTCCATACATTGAGCTCTCCTTTCCCCTCTCTTTTCACCCTATCCCTCTGAGCTCTGGTTGCTGACCCAGCTAGACCTCATGAGCCCCTTGTGACCATCCCCTTATCTCATGGAACTGACCTCATGGCCAGGGCTCTTCCGGATGTATGCCTCACACCTCTCCGTGATTAACATCACAAGACTAGAGGCACTACACCCCACACCCTAACCCAGATATACCCTGCTGATTCTATTGATTGATAAGCTGATCTGATATCAAAACCCCTAAACAATGTAAGTCACTACTTGATTTTTGCATGCTTTGTTCTCGGCCTATAAAACCTGAGCTTGTATTCATTGGCAGAGCAGAGGCCGTCAGTGAAGCTTTCCTAGTAAGTAAACTCATGTCTTTATCTGCTGGACCTCCAAGCATGTTCTTGAACATCACACGCAGGCCTCCCCAGATTTGGGGGCCCCCAAAATATGCCTTTCTTCATTTGATTTATTTTATTTTTTTTAGGTTATTTTCATAGGGTGCATTAAGCTTGCCAGAGAGAGAGAGAGAGACAGTAAGAGGGAAAGTGAAAAATCAACCCCTAGAGGGATGGCCATACCACAGTCCCTTCTCCTTCATTCTTCTGGGATTTGGGGCACTCACATGCCGGGCGTGATTATCAAGCCAGGAGATCTGGGACTCAAACTGCACTCAACTATGTGGGAGGCCAGTGCCTTAACCACCACGCCCCCTGCTGGCCCCACCTTCCTGTATTTTAAATGAGACTTCATCTTAATCTCTCTTGTATTGGTATTTTTCACTCTTCACTTTCTCCTAGGACATTTCCCAGATTTTCTTCATCTTCAGTTGCCAAGGCACATCATTTTGATGTCACGATCATCTTAATTGCAAAATGAGCATCCCCAGACTCATTCTCCTTCTGCGATATTAATGCAGATAGAGCCACCAACTACCTGCAGACATGTGATAGAAACCCAGAACTCATCCGTGGTCCCCACTCGTCACCATTTCCACACTGTCATGCCAAGTCCTTCTCCTAAACGAATCTCAAATGTTGTTTTCTTCCACCCATGAAGGTCGCCACTACCGAAGTCCAATTCACTATTACCTCTTGTCTATAACGCTGCAAAATCCAACTTCTCTCTTCCCACTTTGTCTTGCTCCCTGTAACTCACCCCTCTTACATAATAAAAGTGATCTCTATGTACCTACAGATCTGGTCACATAACTTTCCTGATCGCAGTGCCTCATGGCTTCTCCTGGTACTTTTTATGGGCCGCAAAGACCTGCATGATGTAGTGCCTGCCTCTTCTCTGGGTTTCCTCTTAGCCATCTCCCCTGGTTTACACTATTCCAGACACTCGTGGGAGACCTTACTCACACTTTGAACAATTCCTGGCATAGAGCAGCACACTACTGGGGTTAGCTGCTTAGCATTCATATCGTTTATTATATCGTCTGTTTGTCAGGCCACTTAGCCCTCACTCTGTCTGCATACTTGCTCATTCTCTGTGTTCTCACACACTCAGCTCCTTCCTCCATCAGGCCAGTTGCCAAATCTGTTTCATTTTGTTCATTCAGAGGGGACCCTCCTAACCAGCCCCCAATTCCTACTCCACCCCAGACTAGGTTAGGACTTTCACAGACCTCTCAGTGCACTCTGATCTCTTTTTTTGCAACACTTTCAAAAATTGTGCTTAAATTTTATTAAGGGGCAAAACTAGAGAACTGAACAGAAGAAAAAATATGGCTCTGAACTTTGGGCAAGAACTGTAGAGGTCAGAAAAATGAAGAGAGCACTCTCTCTCAAACATGGATGACAGCTAAAACAAAAAAGAAGAAATATAAATATGTTTTATATAATTACTGAGCCATTTACTTTTACAGTAACCTGAGTATGTGTAAAATTCTGTAATACAGTTTAGTAGTGGAATACAGACGAGGCTCAACACTTAGAAGTGGCAAGATTTGGGGTCAGCTGATAGCATGGTGGTTAAGGCTCTGGACTCTCACATGACCAAACGTGGTTTGAGTTTTGGACCCAGCAGCTTGAAAAACACACTGGCATGCCCAAAACCCCAAAAGGAGGATAGAAGGGAACGGATTGGAATATGGCCATCCCTCCTCTGGGAGGAGGGGAGAGGTGATTTTCACTTTCCTTCTGTCTCTCTCTGGTAAGTGCACATGTTCTATGGCAAAAACCTTAGAGAAAATAAAAAGTAGTGAGATTTGCATGATTTGTGGCATAGTGGTTAAGGCTGCTGGATCCCACATGGCCAACTACACAGTTCGAGTCTCAGACCCAGCAGCTTGAAAAACACTCCAGGCCTGTGTGTGTGTGTGTGCCCAAAATACTGAGAGAAGTATGGAGGATAAGGGACTGTGGTATGGCCATCCCCCTAGGGAGTACTTTCTCTGTCTCCCTCTTTCTTTCTCCCCTGCAAGCACACACACCCTAGAGCAAATTAAAACAAAACAAAAAAAAAAGTAGTGAGACTTGAGCAGTGCCTTGTACTGTAAATGATTTTGGCTTAGTAGGAAGGAAGAAGGCTTTCTCATAAATGATAAAGGCAGGCTGCCAGAACAAATAGCTTGCACTCCAGTGGAAGACAATTACATTCCAACTGAGAACAACTGGTAAACGAACTTCCATGTGGTGAGGAAATGTCATACCCATGGGAGCCTGTTCAACTTTACATGATGTCTAAGACAATGGAGGCCTTGAGGAGTTTAAGAGAGAGAATAGCTTTGTTTGGTGAGAAGCCATACTGCAGGACTATGTTTGTGCAGTGAAATCATAATAAAACAGTCTCAATAATGAAGAAACTAATAATAGAGAGTCCACTTCCATGACAATGGGGCTGAGGAGGGGAATACCTTAGCCTGAAGACAGTAATCTACTAAATCCAGTCAGAAGGGAATATTGGCTGGAACCACGTGTGAGTACATAGCTGGATACATCACAATGGACTTGCAGGTGACCGCTTGGAATAAACCACAGCAACTGCTATTGGCACACGCCGTAGTCAGCCTTGATGCTTTCATTGGTGTGAAATAACTGCTGCATCCAAGTGTTCTATACATGTTTATCAAAGATGTGGGCAATAAGGCCATTGCCCTTGCTAGACTTTTAAGTATCCTGTGGTTAATAAAGAAGATATCTTTGATAGACTTTTACCTATTTTTATCTCCTTGTGCGTGTATCTAATACCTTTGTGTTTAGCAAAAATGAAAGAATATTATTTTACTTTGTGGGTCAGAGTGAGAAAATTTTGCATTTGTTTACAAAGAAAGAAAAAAAAAAAACTTACTCCAGCACTGACTGGTCCACTATCATGTCCTGCAGAATCAGGTTCTTCAACGTACAGTGTATAAAAACTGGGTCTAGGGGTTAAATTGAAACAGAAAAAGACATTATCATTTTGGAGTACACTTAGAGACTGGACCTGGGAACGCTGTGAACCTCAGAGTTGTTTTCTCTTTCTCTCTGTCCTCCTTCTACAAGCCAGGTGGTTTCTCTGGATCCTAGCAGGGCTGGCTCTCCTAACAGGAAGTAAGACCTTCCAGGATGTAAACTTCAGTATGCCGCAGTTATGAAAATCTGTCTTGTTCTTCAGTTAAGATCTCTTCTGGTGTGCCTCAGCCCTGACTATGTCCTGGGTTTTACCTTTTCCTGACTCTTTATTCTGCCATACTCGAGTCCTTCTTGAAGTGCTCGGTTTCCTGCTTGTAGAATGCTTTGATGTCAACCTGCCATCACAGCCTGACTCCTCTGGCTCCTAGAGTCAGCCCTCACAACTGCGGGTCTGATTCTGCCCCAGTCCCTATCCGTCTCTACGGTATGCTCTCTGCTCTCTGGCACTGGCTCTTCCTATAATAACATCAGCCATGTTCTCAAGAGTAAGAAGTGTCCTGTTCTTAGGAATAATTATTGAAAAGTGCTCCATTAAAAGGCAATGCCAACAACAAGTGATTGTTTAAAGTAAGAAACAATGTCATATTTTGTACACATGTATACCACAATGTCAGGACTTCTGGCACTAGGTATTACCTTTCAGCTTTGGGCAGGTCCAGCCACTTTAACAATGTAGAGATCCTTTGCTCATATGGGATACTTCTGAAAGGAGAGAAAAAAATATTTTTTCAAAACTAATCAGCAAGCAGGACCAGCAGTTAGCGTAATGGCTATGTCGCTGGACTCCCATGTAGTTGACCGCAGTTCGAGTCCTGGACCCGGTGGCTTAAACTCATGCCGGGCACGTGTGCATGCGTACCCAAGATCCCAAGAGGAGAATGGATGACAAGGGATTGCAGCGTGGCCATTCCCCTCTTCTCCCCTGAAGGGTGATTTCTTGCTTCCTATCTCTCTGTCTCTCTCTGTCTGGCGAGCGCATGCACCCTATAGCAAAAATCTCTCCAAAAAAAAAAAAGAAACAAGTAATCAGCATGGGGCCAGCCAGCAGATGGCATGGTGGTTAAGGCAACTGGAGAGGCAGGGGTATTTTCTCGCTTTCCCTTTCTCTTTCTCTGTCTCAGTCTGTCTTGCTCTGGCAAGTATGTGCATCCCACAGCAATAATTAAAACAAAAATAAACAACAACGAAAATCAGCATAGGGAGCCAGCAAGCGGAATGGTGGTTAAGATGTTTGACTCCCATATGGTCAACCGTGGATCAAATCCCAGATCTGGAGGTTTGAAAATCACACCAGGCATGCATGCATACATGCCCAAAATCTCCAGAGGAGAATGGAGGAAAAGAGATTGTAGTGTGGCCATCCCCTCTGAAAGAGTGATTTCTCACTTTCCCTCTCACTGTCTCTCTCTGTCTCTCTGGTGCACACATGCACCCTGTGGCAAAAACCTTAAAAAAAATCATCATATATGCAAAAGGAAAGAAAATGAGTATGTAGTAAAAATGTCTGCACTCCCATGTTTATTGCAGTCCTGTTCACAAAAGCCAAGATATGGAACTAACCTACTGATAGATAAATGGATTAAGAAAATGTGTAATCAAGAATAATTCCACGGGACCAGCATTTGGCATAATGGCTATGTCGCTGGACTCTCATGTAGTCAACCGTGGTTCAAGTCCCGGACCTGGTGGCTTAAACTCACGCCAGGCACATGTGCGTGCATGTCCAAGATCCTGAGAGGAGAATGGAGGAAAAGGGATTGTGATGTGACCAACCCCCTGGGGGAGTGATTTCTCACTTTATGTCTTTCTGTCTCTCTCAGGCTTTCTGGCAAGCGCACACACCCTATAGCAAAAACCTCTCAAAGAAAATGAAGAATTCCATTGTATTCCTATTTAGAAAGGTAGATTAGCACCTTCAAATAGTCATTTTGTGTTCTTTATATCATCAAAAAATACTGAAAGAGATTCAGTGTTACTCAAAAGAATTTCCATTTTCAATATTTATATGGTGACATACTTAACAGTTTGATACATGTGTATTATTTTATTCTCTTCTGCTTTCTGTCCTTTAATTTTACTATTCATTCTGATTAAATTTTCGTCACTTATACATTTGTATAGATTAAGCATCTATTTATACAAGATGATTGTTCATTTGAAACAGATTTATTAGTGAGCAAACCAGAGAATACAGTCCAGAGGAAGAAGACAAGCTAGCAACAATAGGCCTAAAATATGCATAAATTATTAGGTTGTGGGGAAAGTCGTGATGCATTTTTCTATACAAAAATGTGTCATGACTTTCCTGATGACCCAATACATAGTGTATTGAAAGGTGATAAATTCTATGGAGAAAATAAAAAAACTAGAACAAAGTAAGGGTCCCTTAGAAACTGGGCTTCAGATAGATTGAAATTTTAAATCTTAGTGTGATTGGGATAATATAATATGGAGAAGGTTAAATTTGAGCAATAGTCTAAAAGAAGAGAAGGAATAGGCATTTGGATCCAAGGAATGACACATCTCAGGCAGTGGAAACAGCAGGCAGAAGTGAGCCTGGTGTGTTGAATAGGTCACAGTGAGCACTGAGGGGAGAAGAAAGAGAGGAAGTGTAAGAGGTAGGGGAAGCATGAGAGTCATAACACCCAGGGCTTATAGACTCAAAGTGAGAGTGACACAGGGAGCCATGCACTTCTTAGTACAAAAGAGTGGCGTAATTGGATCTGGGTGGTGGAACGAGAATAGATTATAGGGGATAAGAAGTCAGGAGTGTGAAGAAACAACTGCTGTAACACATGCAAGAAATGTTAGTTCAACTGGCGAGGATATAATAGGCATTCAGTGAACATATGTGGAACGACTGAATATATGTGATTGGATTGAATGACTGAACTAATGGATGATAGGTGGATGGATGGATAAAAGAGAGGATGGGTAGAGACTAGATAAGCTCCCAGAGTGGTATTGCTAGAGTTATGAAAAGTTCTCAACAGCATATGTTTGAAATTAGAGCCAAGAGCATTTACTGAAAGACTGTATGAGGAATATAAGAAAAAGAATCAATGATGACACCAAGATTTTTGACCCAAACAACTGGAAGAATACCATTAAGATTACCATGAAAGGACCAGCAGTTAGTGTAATGGCTATGTTGCTGGACTCCCATGTAGTCCACCGCAGTTCGAGTCCCGGACTCGGTGGCTTAAACTCATGCCAGGCGCGTGTACGTGCATGCCCAAGATCCCGAGAGGACAATGGAGGAGAAGGCATTGTGGAATGGCTATCCCCCCTGGGGGAAAATTTCTCTCTTTCTGTGTCTCTGTCTCTCTCTGTCTGTGTGGCGAGTGCACGTGTCTTATAGCAAAAACCTCTCCAAAAAATAAATAAATAAAATAAAAAGATTACCATAAGGATTAAGACACTACCAAAAAAAAATTTAGTCATTACTGCTTAGAGGGGACCATATCTGAAAATCTTTCACCACCTGTTGTAAGCCATGTACAAGGAGGGAAAGGAACCATTTACAGCCACATCTGATCCTGGCCAAAAGTAGGAAGCAGTTTTCAAGCCTTGATACATTGCTGTCAGCCATATCTGTAAGAAGAGAAAATTTAAAATAAGTGAAAGTCAATAGAATAACTAAAATAGAAATCTTGCAGCTTACTAGAAACTGAACAATATTAAAAATTGCAAAATGTATTGAAATGTATTTAAATTATTTAAATTTTGTCTTTTAGACAGTTAAAATATATCATTACTGGGCCAGCCTGTGGTGTGGTGGTTAAGGTGCCTGGATCCCACATGGCCAACAGTGTGGCTTTAATCCCCACACACCAGCTTGGAAAACACTCCAGCACATGTGTATGTGTGCCCAGAATCCTGAAAGGAGAATGGACTGCAGTGTGCAAATCTGTCCTGGGCAGTGCTTTCTCAATTCCTTTCTTTCACTCCCTCTTTTTGTCTCTCTCTGACTAGCACATGTGCTCTACAGCAAAATTTAAATATAAATATATATATATATATAGCCAAAATCAAGAAGGTTGTAAAGTAGTAAGAAACAAGGTCATTTTTTTTATTGACAAGTTAATTCTTTCCCTTCAAAAGACTTACAAGTCAGCATGAAGGGGATAAATTAGCAGTACATCTTTCTCAGTAGCTTCCAGGTTGATGCACTTAAAATGCAATGCCCACGTTTCAACATAAGGCTATTTGAGTGAGCAATTATATATATATATATATAGCTTACATACTAGATGGAAAATGTAAACTCAGGGCAATGAGAAGACTAAGCCACTGCCACACTGGGAAGTGGGGGTCACTTTGGGTGCCATGTGTAGAATGCTACATACTGGTTGTCCGTGCCACCAAGCTGGATTGTCTTTCTCCTTTGAAGAAAGTGAAAAGTTCTTGTTCAGATGGACATCGTACATATTGTTGTCAATGATACCATGTGATTCTGGATACAAGCCCTAAAATGATCATTTAAAAAAACAATTAAGAAAATATATTAGTATACATGTAACTTCAAAGAACATAAGATCTACAACTTATATCTAGGAAGGATATCATGCACCTTGCAATATAAGACACATCGATCTGAATTCAAGTATCAGGATTTTCTTTTCTAGTTCTACCATGGTCTTTAGCAGCGAATGAATGAACCTGGACAGTCAGTTTGTGTTCATGGTGCTATTATGTAACTGTTGTGTGCTTAACAACTACCTGTGACTACAGTGATCAGCCACTGGTTATATTGACAATAACGGCAAGAAATTTACTGTATAAAAATTTGTATTTATCAAATCTCCTGGCTAAATGGAACTTAAAATATGCTCCCAGTATGTTAGAAGGGAGCCTACCCAGTCCCTACCCTTCCTTTTATCTATCATCCACCATCCGTTAGTTCACATGTTCATTTAATCCAATCACATGTATTCAGTCACTCCAAATAGTTCTAACTACTTGTAGATAGATTTTGAAGTCATTATTTCAGAACTTCAGGACATATAAATACATATACATATACAAAGGGACTCCAAGAAGTTTACAGAAAAATGGAATTAAAGAGTTGATGGTGCAAAATATCTTTTAAATCCATGCATCATTTTCTTGCAAAAAGATCTTTGAAACCCATGCATAATTTTCCATTTTTCTGCAAACGTTTTGAAGTCCCTTTGTATATATGGTAAATAGTGCTTATAATATGTTATCCTTTTTTGTGTATGCTATACGTGTATATATGCACCTTATGTATTTATGCACAAATACATACAATTTGTTATTCATAGTAGATCCATTCTAAAATGTTATACTGAATCACCGTTCACAGGGAAACTAGAGCTTCTGTTCACAACACTGTTGTCAACTGATCAACACATAACCTTGGTTTCTATGTGTTTCTGTTTGAGGACAGCATACTCACTACGCATGTTTCACTCACTGTCACTCAAAGCTAGACAAGGCTTATCAGACACATGTATTTTCTCTGTAAGTTACATCACAGCCTTCTTGCTTTTAAAAACATATGAGAGTACTTCAGCACTACCCATGGGGACCATTTTAAACAGCAAAATCACCAATGAAAAGCACAAATGTGAAAAACGTGACACTAAATAGACAGTAGACTTAAAAATAACACCATTCATTTACAGCATGAGGTTTTCATTTGTCTTAACTTAATAAAGACATCTGTATCATAAATGAATTATTGATATATTGGCTACATTCCAAGATAAAGCAAATGAAACAGGTCAATTCTCCTCAAGGTACAAAAAGACTCAAACGAGAAGGCAGAGTATGACCTTATGAGAGCTTAGCTATGAATGTACCTTAGATAACACATTGTTTTGCTCTTCTGTGGATGTCTGTGGATGTTTGCAAATGGCCACAGATGTACATTTATTAATTATAATAAATATAGGGGCCAGTAAGTGGTCTGGTGGTTAAGGGCACTGCACTCCCACATAGCCAACCAAGTCCCAGACCTGGAGGCTTGCTTTCTCACTTTCCCTCTCTCTCTCTCACTCTGTCCCTCTCTGATCAATTTAAAATAATGAATAAATAAATAAAGTTAAATAATAAAATAATAATTTTTTCAAAGTTTTAAAAATGACAATAAATACAGTGACCAGCAATTAGTGTAATGGCTATGTCACTGGACTCCCACGTAGTCGACCACAATTCAAGTCCCAAACCCAGTGACTTAAACTCACTCCAGACACGTGTGCGTGCGTGCCCAAGATCCCAAGAGGGGAATGGAGGAGAAGGGATTGCGGCGTCACCATCCCTCCTCGGGGGTGATTTCTCGCTTTCTGTCTTTCTGTCTCTGTCTTTCTGGCAAGTGCACGCACCCTATAAAAAAAAACCTCTCAAAAAAAAAAAAGATAATAAATACAAATGAATTTGAGATACAAATAAATTTGAGGTTAAAAATAAATTTTAGTAAGAGAATCCACAAACATGTGCAAATAATGGGAATACATACATACATATATACATAATTACTTGAGGGTTAAAATTTAAATAAGTCGAGCTGACTCCATAGCATAGTGGGTAAGTGCTGCACGTTGGTGGCTTCATTCCACATTGCCAACCATGGTTCAAGTCACAGCCATGCTGGCTTGAAATACATGCTGGGTGTGTGCACACTAAACCCTGATGGGAGGCCAAAATGAAGGCATAGGATTGTGGACTGTGACATGATCATGCCCCACTGAGATGTGCTTTCTCTCTCTCTTTCACTTCCTATGCTGAGAGCATGTGCTTCCTCTGCTGAGAGCATGTGCCCTCGGGCAATAAGAAGAAAAAAATTGTTTTGAAATTTAAATATGTTATATTGTTCCATAGTAATCAGACTAAAATGCAAATTGGTAAAAAAACAATATATCCTTTGATGATTTAGGCTGAAGCCAATGATTCCTTAGGTTTTGTTCTAAGATCTATAAATCTTTAATAAGTTAGTTTGAGTTCATTTTAAACATGCCATCCTACATTGAGGAGAACTCACTGACTTTTAGTTGCTTTGTCTATACAGATATAGCCAATTGGAATTCACATATGAAACACATGTCGATATCAAGTTAAATCTAATGAAAAAAAAAAACAAAGAAAAAAATCTCTCACATCAAAGTAGCTGTCCTCATTTACCTATAGCAGACCTTTCAATAAGGGAAGCACAGTCAAAAGCAGTATGATATTTTTCACGCTGCAGAGGCTATTCTGGTCTCTCCTAAAAGTGAATTAACGTAAACCCGGGAGATTCATTTACATTCAATGTCTGGCAGCACTAAATTAGCCTCTTATCAAGCCACCCCCTCCTTCTGAAGTAAGCCACCAAATATCCTGTGTGTGCTTTTTTAAAAATTTTTTTTATAATTATTTATTTAATTTTATTCATTCCTTCCTTCCTTTTCATTTGACCAGAGAGAGACACAGAGAAAGAGAGGGAAAGTGAGAAAGCAACCCACCAGGTTTAGGACTCGAACCGTGGTCAGCCATGTAGGAGTGTCCAGCGCTTTAACCACCACACCACCTGCTGGCCCCCCACGCATGTGTGCTTTTTTGGGGGGGGGGAGATTTTCGCTATAGGGCACGTGAGCTTGCCAGACAGACAGAGAGAAATATAGAGACAGAAAGCGAGAAATCACCCCCCAGGGGGGATGGTCACGCCACAATCCCTTCTCCTCCATTCTCCTCTCAGGATCTTGAGCACACACACACACATGCCCGGTGTGAGTTTAAGCCACCGGGTCCGGAACATGAACCGTGGTCAGCTACGTGGGAGTCCAGCAACATAGCCATTTCGCTAACTGCTGGTTCCCATGCATGTGTGTTTTTGAAGCATGTGATTTGGGCTTGGCCAGTTTCTCCCAGGCAGTCAGTCTAATGTGACTAGATTTCACCTGCAGCTGGTCATTCTTACCATCGCACTAAGCACTTACCGTGACAATGGTGTAATGATTTGGGAAGGTTTTGGTAGGATACACAGCTCTCATGTATTTTGAATGAATTCCACAGGTTTCTGCAACGAAGTAAGGTGAGATATTAGAAAGTCATTTTTTTTCCAAAGATGTGGTTTGAATAACTAAAAATTTGAACAGAAAAATTTCCCAGAAAAATGGAACAGTAAGAGTGGATTGAAGATGGAAAGAGGTTAAAATTCTGTCCCTTGACCTTTCTTCATTTACAGGAATGTCAGTTCTTAGGAGAGGAATGAGCGAACTCGAGGTCTACAGGATTTTCCCTTAATGAACCATATAATGCATATATTAGGCTTTGCAAGGCCGCATGGTTTCTATAGAAAACAGTTCAGCTCTGTCACTGAAGTCCTAGAGAATCCTCAGATGAAATATAAGCAAATGAGCCTGGCTGTGTGCCAATAAAAGTTTACATATGGGGAACCAGCAGTTAGCGTAATGGCTATGTCACCGGACTCCCATGTAGTCAACCGCGGTTCGCATCCCGGACCCGGTGGCTTAAAACTCATGCCAGGTGCATGTGCGTGCGTGCCCAAGATCCTGAGAGGAGAATGGAGGAGAAGGGATTGCAGCATGACCATCCCCCCTGAGGGGTGATTTCTCACTTTCTGTCTCTATGTCTCTCTCTGTCTGGCGAGCGCATGTGCCCTATAGTGAAAACCTCTCCAAAAAAATTAAAAAATAAAAAATAAAATAAAAAATAAAATAAAAAAGTATACTTATGGACATCAAAATTTGAATTTCATATAATTTTTACATGTTACAAAATATTCCTTTTATTCAGCCCTTCAAAAATATGAAATAATTCTCAGTTTATGGCAAGTCATTCAAAAATGAGTAGAGTGGGCTAAAGTTGGCCTGCAGGTCACAGGTAACTGACTCCTGAGTTAATTGTACCCTAAATTATCCACTGCCAGCTCTGTTTACTTTTGCGCTCCCCTCTTTCCAGTTCCAGCTATAACAACAAGAAATATATATATATAGTATTTGCATCTCACTGATAGTTCTTTTTTTTTAGAAGTATTTGTTTTTGTTTGTTTGTTTGTTTTTGCTATAGGGCGTGTGTGCTCACCAGAGAGACAGAGAAAGCAGAAAGAATGAAATCACCCCCCAGGGAATGACCACACCATAATCCCTTTTCCTCCAGTCTTCTCTCAGGATTTTGGGCTTGCACGCACATGCACCTGATATGAGTATCTGGCCGCTGAATCTGGGGCTCAGACCAGGGTCGACTACAAAGGAGTCTAGCGATATAAACATTATGTCATCTGCTGGTGCCCTTACTGATAGTTCTTATATGGAAATTAAACCAACATGACCAAAGTCAATACAACTGTCAGGAAAACTGAAAAGGGATTCGACTTGTGTAACAACGTAAGCCCACTACAAAATGAGCCATATGTACTGCATATTATTTTCCTTACAGTTTCCCCTTAATCTGTGAAGTTTTCCATGACCTGTTTTGCACAAGGCATGGCATTAATCTTGCTTTCATTGTTCTGTTGTTTCCAGTCTGTGCAATCACCCTGCTGGGGTAGGTCAGGACCATTAGTACACACTGCTATTTCCTCTGCAGCAGCAAAGTACAAGAAATTTTCCGTACCAACATCCTGTTGCCTCTAGTTGAAAAGAAAACTTCACCACTATAGATTCCATTTGGGTTAAAACAAAAAGTGAAATTTATGGCTGTCACAAAGGAATAGGCTTTGTAACTGTAGACAATGACTGTTTTCTCAAAACAGCATGGGATTGGTCTTCCCAGATTCTGTTCAGTATTTCCAATGTGATCTAGGAATTTCTTCAGAATCCTGTGATGTTCCATATCAAGGTCAATATATGGGACTCCGATCAGTTTTGGGACGGATGGGGTAAGAGATGGAAGAAAAAACAAATTTGTAAGGGTTCTTCAAAAACTTCATAGAAAATGTGTATTATGGAAAAAAATGCATGAATTTCAAAAAAAGGTTTGCAGCAAAATAAGCTTATATTTTTATTCCATTTCCCACAAACTTTTTGAAGTCCCCTTATACATTTTCATGAGAATCTCAGATGATTCTAATGTACTTAAGTTTGAGAGCTACTCTAGGATTTGCTCATTAGACATAAATGAAGTTTAAAATAATCTTTTTTTGGTCAAAACCACCAATAAATAAATTTTGTCCTGTCAGGAATTCCATATTCTTAGGAAGTTGTATGATAAAACAAAATGAGATCTGGCACATAACACACATGGAATACTACTCAGCCATAAAGAATAGCAATACTGTGTTATTTGATTCAAAGTAGACAAACTTAGGGACCAGCAGTTAGCATAAAGGCTATGTCGCTGGACTCCCATGTAGTCAACCGTGGTTTGAGTCCTGGACCCGGTGGCTTAAACTCACACTGGGCACCTATGAGTGCGCCCCCAAGATCCTGAGAGGAGAATGGAGGAGAAGAGATTGTGATGTGGCCATCCCCCCAGGGGGTGATTTCTTGCTTTCTGTCTCTCTGTCTCTGTGGTGAGCGTACACGCCCTACAGCAAAAACCTCTCCGAAGTAGACAAACTTAGAAGATATAAGTGATATAAGCCAGGCTATGAAAGACAAATACTGTACATATCCACAAAGATATATGAAGTGTTCATGCTCTATGATAGAAATGAAGGATTCAATAGCATAGAAAGGAAGAGAGTAATGGTAAATACAGAAGGTTCATGGGGGTGGGTTGGGGAGAAAATGATTAAGACACTAGGATGCATGTAAAAGAGTGAAATAGGTTATTGGTGTACTACAGAGTTAAAAAAAATACCATTGACAATTCAATATATATTTTATAAAGGCTAATATTTTGTTACTAAATGTACATAACATAATGTAATGGTCAATGGTGAATAAGATGACTATGTCAGTATCTTTGATTTGATAATTACCCCCTGTATGCATGCTTTGAGAAGCCATATGGTACCCCCACAAAGATACATATATGTAAGCCAGGAACCACGAATTTAAAAAAAGAGAGAGCTCTAACCATTTACATAACTTAAAAAATCTTAGTGGGGAAGGAACCAGCAGATGGCATAATGGTTATGTCACTGGACTCCCACATGGTCAACTGAGGTTTGAGTCCCAGACATGGCAGCTTGAATCTCACGCTGGGTGCATGTGCATGTGTGTGTGTGTATGTGTGTGTGAGTGTGTGCCCAAAATCCCAAGAGGAGAATAGAAGAGAAGGTATTATGGCATGGCCATTCCCCTTGGGGGAGGGTGATTTTTCACTTTCTGTCTCTCTTAAGCACACACTCCCCATAGCAAAAATCTCTCTCCTGCTCTCTTAAAAAAAAATGAATTTAAGTGGGGAAAAAAGTTATACAACAGAGATTAAAAAGTCAGTTTCTGTTTTTATTTTCTTGAAATACGGGTTTCTGTTAAATTCTTAAATGCTTAAAACCACAAGATATAAAGTAAAATGCAGACTAAGCTACCAGTTTGTGAAAACATGACACTACCCTGATTTTTTCTTTTTTTTTTTTTTGAAGAGGTTTTTGCTATAGGGCGTGTGTGCTCGCCAGACAGACAGAGAGAGACAGAGAGACAGAAAGCAAGAAATCACCCCCTAGGGGAGATGGTCATGCCGCAATCCCTTCTCCTCCGTTCTCCTCTCGGGATCTTGGGCATGCATGCACACGCGCCCGGCATGAGTTTTAAGCCACCGGGTCCAGGACGTGAACCGCAGTCAACTACGTGGGAGTCCAGCGACAGAGCCATTACGCTAACTGCCGGTCCCCTACCCTGATTTTTGATATCCTAAACAGGACACACTTGAATCTGCAGATTCAGGCTACCATTTTGTATCACCTGCCTTTGAATCAAAGTTCCTAAAGAACAGCTCACAAAAGGTATGATCCTTCTACCGATGTTTCTTCCAGACCATGGTAATTTAAACCCTGACTAAATAGGATACGTGTGGAAGGACACACACTAAAC